AAAAAAGCAGTTCAGAGGTAAGAAGTTCAGGAGCAGCACATCTCTGTGAAGTCACTGAGACAGGGTCTCTCTCACGTTTTGCTACTCCATTCTTCGAAAGTGACATCTAGTCTTATAATTCACTATAGCTGATTGAGTCCTGGCCATTATATCTGGACTGAAGTAGCAGATTTGAGAAGACAGATGTTCAGTTTGGGACACCTTGGATTTGAGGTGCCTGACACCCAAGGGAAAGTGTCCAGGAAATGATTAGAAAGGCTGGCTCAGAGCTCAGGGTAATTGCCAGATGGGAGGGATGGGATCAAGAGTCGACTGTGTATAAAATAATGGGCGCTAAAGCCAGGGGTGTGCGGGAGATGACCCAGATAGAGTGAGTACCATTAAAAGAGGGCCCAGGAGGGAACCTTGGACACATTAACAAAACTAATTTTTCCCCCAACAGAAGGATACAAATGTTCTCCCAATTGAGTTAACTTCTTTTTAGCAGCCTTTTCTGTAAATAAGCCATTCACACTTCTGCTCATATTTCGGTGACCAGAACTTAGTCACACAGCCCCACCTAGGTTCAAGGGAGAATGGGAAATGTAACCTCATAATTAGGTATATTTTTGCCTCCAATCAAACTGGGGTTCTATTTGTAAAAGAGAGAAGGGAATGCCACTAGATAACAGCTGTGATCCTGTGACAGTACATGCATGGGAACTGAAGTATACACTGAATCTGTTTCGGAGACATACTCAAGAAAGGGCACTGGACTAGCAGGTAGATGTGCTGCATCCGACTCCCGCCTCTCCCTTTCATCTAGAACATCATAAGCAAATTACTTAAGTTTCTTGAAGGTTTAGTTTTTTCATTTTTAATGTGGATATGACCATTCTTTGCCTTTTTGCTTTCTAATTGTTGTGAACTTTAACTGAGGCAGTGCTTTTGAAAACACTTTTACAACTATAAAAACATTGCATAAATTCAAGGGTCTGTATGTTGTGACTTCAGGATGCCTGAGAGCTATAATCAGAGATGAGTAGGCTCAGCAGATCTCCCAGTAAACTAATCACACCTAGACACCAAGAAACAATCCCATCTCTATATTGACTTGTCAACTTCTGATAATGCATTTTCTAAGTTTAGGTAGAAATTAAACTATTGTGTCATCAGTTAAATGATGAAAGCTACATGTACTATAACTGTGATATGGGTAAAGAAAGTAATTTTCAATGATAGTATCATATCTGATGAACTATGTCTTAAATGGAAGTCTTGGTCACTGTTGAGAAGACAGAATCGACTCTAGTTAGTAGAAGCAGAATAGAATGTATTGCTAGGTTTAAAATGGCTCACAGGATCACTGGGGATGGGTAGCTGAAGAAATAGCCCCTAGGTTGAGCTCCCATGGACAACTCCCAAAGCCCCCAAAGGGTCGCACTGCTGCTTCTGCTATAATCAAGAAGCCATCTGTTAAATCTAGAGTCTCGTTTGAGGTCCTGGCTCCAGAGTGACACTGCTGCAGCCTCAGTCAGATCCAACTTGATCCACACCAAAACGGTGCTTCTTGCTCTTTCTTGCCTACTTAACTCCATTGCAAAATCATTTCCCACATGATTGCATCTGATTGGTGGATCCTCACTAACCCAGAACCCTAGCTTCAGGAAAGTCTAATAAGTACAGTTTTTGCCTTTACTTCCTCTGCTAGAAGAATGTTGAATATATGTTGTATGTGTCAATTGTCCATCCACTCTGTCAGAATAAATTTTAAATTTTATGTGTACCTATGAAATGGAAATTGCTATTTGAGGCCCCAAAACACTGGCTACATGTCTTAGAAATTAAGTGATTTCAATGCAACACAATTTATTTAGGGCAAAGGAAATTCATTTAACTCAAATGTGGATTGAATGAAGAGGCAGAAAGCATAGGAAACGTTCATGTACATATATCTGTAGCATGTTATTCTTAAGTTACATTTGTACCAGCATTGAACCCAAGTTAGGCATGTGGATATTTCTTTAAGAATATTATTTGCTCATAAATATAAATTTCTTGTTAGTCCCATTGATTAGGGCCAGAATAACTTACTCATTGTAATGTATTTACACACCATGATGAAACCACAATAATTAAAGTTCAACATGTGCATGGAGATGATCTAATGAAATTTTATTGACTAGGAGAGTTAGCAATAATTATCTTTCTGCTTGAACAGCTTAGCTAATAAAACACAGGCATTCAAAACTAAGAATGGGCTAGAGTCATATAAAAATGACCAGAGTTCTTAGTGATTCTAAAAATATTGTGAAAAAATATGTATTCATCAGAGTGAGAAGATATTTTTGTTGTTGCAGGCCAGATCAGCTTCTGAGAAGGGCAGATTCTCAATTTAATAATGCAGAACTTCCCCCGCAATAAAACCATGACTTGTTACTGAATGTGTATTAAAGAAGCAGAGAAAGATGGTCAGTGAAAAAAGCGGACTGACATTTCTAAATACTACTTCGGCACGGCTTATGGAGAAGGTAAGAGAGAAGGGAAGATTGAAGGGCAATGGGGCAGTGAGAATATCCTTCCTAAAACCTGTTTTGTTTTTCCCTAAAAGAATGGTTCTCAAACTTTTGTTCTTAAGGTCCTCTTAAATTCTTAAAAATTATTGAGACTCTTAAAGAACTTTTGTTTATGTAGCTTATATCTATTAATATTTACTATATTCAAAATAAAACCCAAGGAATTTAAAACTATTTTAAATAACAATAATAGACTTATTGCATCTTGACATAAAGGTTAGTTGCAATATAAACCCATATGAGTGATCTATTTGTACTTTGAATAAATCTTTTGCAAATTTTGATTTTGTAACATCAGTCATGGGTCATCTGGAAAATACTAGTTCACTGAATTATGCAAATATCCCAAAGGTTGACACAATATATTATACAGTATTTTAAAAATTACATTTGTTAATGCCACCATTCATGTCATTGGAAAAATCTTTAAGCATGGGGGAGCTGTCAAGTTTAATGTGGTGAATGTAAATTTTCCATGACTCTAATTTTTACTTTAACCTTGAATTGTATCATTGTGAACAAATACTGTTAGGTGTTTTCCTTGAAGTGACAGGCTCACTTCATTCATTTCTGAGACAATGTCTGCCATATGCTCAGATCTAAATCATCATGGTTTTTCTGTCAGTTGTTCTTTTGAATATAAATGTGGTCCATGAGAAAAAATGTGGTTTGTTCAGCCTTGCATCTCAAACAGTTGTACAAGTGCCTTTTTAAGGGACATTCATTGGACTCTGGTATACAGAAGTGCTTTATGTGTATTTCCCATTTCATCACACAAAATGTCCCCAGAAGTAGAGATGTAAGAAATGATTACTTTTTACTGCTTCATAGGCACATTCTTAAGTGATGGCAGTATTAGGGTTTTTTTTTGCTGTGAGTGCATGGTGGTGAGAAAACCACGACTACTAACTAGTACCTAGTACAGTTAGTGCCACTTCCCTGATTTGCTCTAAGGTGCCAGCAGTTTTGTCCAATGTCCTTGCAACTATCAGTAGAGTGAAAAGGACAGATAATGCCTTGGTTTTGTCCTGAAAATAAATGTGATCTCCTGGATTCCCTGAAATACTCCTGCAGTGGTATTTGAATTGATGATTCCCAGGTCGGTCTCATATTGGAACCTGTGGTAATTGTTATTGGCAGGGACATTTGGGTTTGCAGTGAGAAAGCCACCATCTCATGTTAGCGCCAATGCATGAAATATTGAAAGAAACTTAGATTATTATTTGGATATCATTAACATCAATCATGACTTGCTACCTTAGGAACACTGCTCCAAACAAAACTTACTAGTTTAAAAAAAACCCTTAATTTTGTTAGTGTTTCCAAGGTTCTCTCCTCGGCCCTCTTGTAATCGCATCACTCTTTCCAGGCCATCTCAGTGACACCTTTGGCTTTCATTTTGTACACAGATGACTCCTAGTCCTGTACCTCCCACCAGGCAGTTCCCCTGAGCTGGCATTACTAACCATTTTTCTGGCACCTTGCCTTGGTTGTCTTCAGGTACTTCAAATCCGAAATGTCCTGAAGTGAACATCTTTCTTCTCAAATCTATTGCCCTTGGTCCTCCCACGTGCCCAAACCAGAAACTAGGAGGTCAATCCTAGGCTCTCCTTTTCCCAGCTCCATAACTAACTGATCCTCAGATCTTGTTGGCTCCATTTTGTCTTTGGATTATCCTGCTAATCTGCAGCTCCATTCTAAGTGCCTGGATAAGCAACTGCTTCTGGTATCCTAACTGGCCTCTCTGCTTTAGGTTTGCTCTACTACAATCCATTCCTTTTTACAGATATTCTTCTTACTAATAGTGCTTTTTACTAAAGCCAAAAATGACTATGTAGCTCCTCTGCTGAAAATCCTTCATTGGCACCTTTAGGATCAAAGAAAGACTCCTGAGCAGGATATAGGATCTTTCCATAGTACTCTTGTCTCTTTTCAAGTCTTATTTTCCAGTAAACCCTCTGTGTTCCCAGTCACAACATTCTGCCTACAGTCCCTTCAAAGTACCATATACTTTTTCCTACCTTGGTGATTTTGCTCATGCAGTTCCCTCTGCATAGAAATATTTCCCCTTTCCTTTGCCTAGCTGTATCACACTTATTCTTCAGTATTCAGGGTAAGTACTCAGCGGACATGTCCTGACCGTTGAATATAGGTCCTCCAGTATATTCCCACAACTCCTTGAACATAGCATAGTGCTTGCTACACTATATGGTTATCATTGATTTTCTTGCCTGTCTCCTCTGGGACACAATCTCTTAGTACACAATTTGTTCTGTAATGTTCATTTCTTTCTTCGGTGCCTATAATCGTGTTGGGCACAAGGAAAAAAAAAAAAAAAAAAAAAGGAACTAATTAAATTGAATAACATATTTTAAAATTAAAATTTTTATGTCTTCACATTTTTTAGAGGGGAAGTAGCTATGTGATTCTATTATCAGCATATTTAAAGAATTATGGCATAATAATGCTACATTTTTATACAATATAATTTCACAGTTTTTTTGTAGATTTAATTGGTTTTCAATTGGTTTCATCCACCTACCTCCTTTGTGGAAGAAGCACCATGAAATGAATAGTAAAGGGTCCTTGAGTTTGGATTTGGTCAGTAAGAAAATTACTTGTTTTTGCATAAATGTTTCCCTTTCAATTGGGATCAGCCAAAGTACTGCTGTGCAGTAGTTTCCAGCTGCTTGAGATGGGCTGGGTAGGGTAGAGTTTAGGTTGGGCAAATTTTACCACTAAGCTGAATCCTAGAGAGAGGACAATCCAGAAGGTGACGAGTGTCCTTTGCTCTTGCATATCAGGAAAGGTCGGTTGATAGCATTTTTCTGGAGATCAAGGCACTCATGATTGCCATGACTCAGGCCTTAGGTTACTTTCACCTTATATTTTCTCAGTTATGGCTGAACTGCAGCTATCAAGAGGCAAAATTAGGAATTGAATCAGTTCTACCAGGAATTGATTGATGTTGTGAGAACCATATTCGGAAAAGCTTCTTGGAGACTCATGAAGTGAAGTGGGTGTACATCTGAAAGAGTATCATTAGAAGAATCTCATAACCTTGTTTTCGCCTGTGAATTTTAGAAACAAACAGAAATATTTCTTGAATGTAGAGTCTTCAACATTTCACAGTTCAATGCTTATGCTTATAACTTACTTTAGCAACTTGGACCTATCCATTGCAGACTCCTACTCAAACTCAAAGACCTCTCATGTGAAGCAGAAGTGAATCTAATTTCAACAATGTTTCTGACTTATCACTGGGAGGGCCCTGGTTGTGTTGACTGTGGAAATCTTTTGATATTTCAGAAAACTTCTTATCACAATCTTTTCTTTGGCCTCTTTTCTTCCTTTCTCTCCCTTAAAAAAAAAAATTGTTTATGTTGGCCGCTCCTTTCTTTATGCTTATGGTCACAAGACTACTAAAATATGTTTTGTCCATACCTTTATTTAGTTGATACACTGTTTTACTCAGAGCTAGATCTTTGCCATAGTAAATACTTAATTTTATTCCAGGATATTTGAAAACAAGGTTCCTTTCATTTTCAAGGATAATCAAATTTCTCATTAACCTTATGGTTTCTATGCAATAATATATGTTCACTTCTGTTTTGGTCTGGGTGTGGTTAAATGTACATTCTTTTACTCCCCCTTTAAAAAGAATCTCTAATGAGTTTTTGTTTTATCAAATGTGTTTTCTATGATATTGTTGTTGGTGGTATAATCTTCTAAATACAGAATAAGGCCTCACCTGCCAGGACCTCTGTCAAATCACATCTCAACATTATTTTCATAATTTTACCAAAAAATTTTCTTTGCCTTAATATAATCCCTAAATATAGATTTTGATTCCCCAACACACTTTATTTTCTGTGCTTATGTATATCAATATGTTCAGTTTCCATATACTGAATGATTTATATGACTATTTAAACAATGTGATCATAAAATGTCAAACAATGTCACAAGAGGAAAATATATAGAACTTGAGTCTCTCTGCATTTCATTGTGTTATTGATTTAACAGTAATCTCATTAACTGTGCTACTTTCCAAAGTGACCATAAACACCACTTCATAATACTAAACAGAGAAACTGTCCTTTGGAAACGAGTACAGATAATTTTCAGAAAGGACACAGTCATTGTAAAGCATGTTTTAGCTAGAAGCTAAAGCGAATATAAGCTGTGAAAGAGCCAATAAAATGTAAAAAGAAAAGCATTTGCAAAATAAATCTTATGCACTTAGGGAAGAGCTGTATGACATTTCCTTTTGCTGTTGTAATGGTATACTATTTGGTTGACCAGCTGGCCAGCCAGCCCCTAAAGCCTTCATTTCCTGTTTTGCAATTATAGGACTACAAATTAATGCATCTCCAGTGCTGAGCAATGACATTTTGGATCATTTAACTAACTTCTTTGTACAGGTTACCTTCTTTTATCAGCACCATAAAAACGAGACTGACGGCAGCATTTATAGTAACTGTGAAGAGTAGTCTAATAAGCTGGTGAGTCATGAACTCATTCTTTCCTGTTGCCCAGCATTTCTTGAAAAGCTGAAAGGTTGGAGAAAAATGAACCGTACATTCTGTAAACAGACAAAGAAATGTGGTGATAGGTAAACTCTGACAATATGAAAGCTAGGGTGAGAAATCATTTGTTCACCATATTTTAAAATTAAGAAATCCACTGCATGACAGTGAGGCTCAAATGTATGTAATCAGGTAGAATCATGATGGACATCTGGCAAATATAGTAAAAATCATCTGGAGCCATAAAAATCTGTAGAATTTTTTCCTCTTAGAATATTGCCTTAGAGGCAGTTTATTTTAAACTATCCTTGAATAGTATTTTAATAATTTAAGAAAGATGATGTTAGGTTATTAAGTTAAAATTTTTTGTGTTGAGACTGTTGTAACACTCAATGAATGAATAATATGTATATGATTTGTGCTCTG